AATTCCGTGATACCCGATTCGATTCCTGCTGTGGACGATTTAGTAGCTTGGCACTGATTTCTACAATGGTATCGAGGACCGACTATTCAGTCCCAATAACAAACTTAAAAGTTAGTTGCTATTCCTTTACAGGACGTTGCAGAACTAACCCTAACAACCCCTGGCTGTTGTGTGGTTTCTCTAGGCAAATTTACGTCCAGTAGTTTGCTATTGCTTTCAATAAGAAACTACTTAACGTAAAATGGATTGGCACTCCGGACACGTCTATAGGTGCTCAGATTCCCCCTTCAACATAAACATCAGCGTTCCGCGGTTGATAGTCCCAAACCTGTGTTGTTTGACTAAACTTCTCGTGCATGCGGTATGCTTCTCGTGCCTGGCTTTTCCGATATTTACTCCCAATTCTTGCACTCTTAGCACAAATGTGGAAGTGCTGCTCATAAAAATCCCCTGATCGTCCTACCTCTCTAATGGCATTAACAATGTCGGCATGATCCATGGGCCGCCCCTCTGTAACTAAGGCAGAGCCGGCTAATCTGTTGGCTCTTTCATTGCCAACAACACCCGCATGCCCTGGGACAAAGATGAGGGTAACTCCACACACAGTGGACTTTTGCAATGACTCGATCCACTGCCCGCCTACAAAGCCCGTCTCGACCCGTCAGATCATGCTCATGGAATCACTCAGCACACACACACACACAAGTGCGATGCTAGATACATGCCAGCTCGTGTTACCGCCATCACCTCCATTGTCATACTGCTAGTAGTCATGCAAACGGTCTTGTTCTCTGTGAGTTACCTCTGTTTTTCTTTCTTTTATTTTAACACACTGGAAGGTTTCTCGGCAGTTCATAGTATATGAAGAGATCATCATCATGTGCCCTGCTAGCTGGCGTAGGCACTCATGCGTCTCCACAGATAACTATCCCTAATTGCCTGGAACAGCTCTTTTGATGATATGCCTCCATGCCATCGTTTCAGCGTAACCGCATCACATCTCTTAGTCTGCCTCTACCCCTTTGTCCACTTATCTTTCCAGTTGTTACGATGTTCTCTAATGCCTCTCTTCTCATTATGTATATTATATATATTTGTATATTGCATAAGATATGAAGAGTGCATGCCATTTCCCCGGCACTCGTTAGTTAGAAACATACGCACTTAGATACGAGCGCATTTAAATTGCCATATGGACAGTGCGCTACTTTTTTTGGGTGGGGAACTGAAACCCCAGAAAATGAGCTTCGGAATGCTCCCACCTGTCGTTTCATGAAAGCTATCGATTTTCTGACGAAATCCAAGAGCCAGCATTACCTCCCTTGGATGTTAAGGACTCCGGGGGCCATAAGCCCTTTCTAAGTTTTTGCTTTTTGTTTTTGGGTGTTTTGATTACGAACTGCCTGCAATAATGGCAAGTTTACGCTGCATCAAAACACAAGCAGATAATGTAGAGATATTCTGTAATTTAAAATGACTTGGGAGAAGAAACTGGAGATGAACTTTGCATTTGTTTTAAAGAATGTCAGGAAAAAAATCAGTTTCAACCAGAAGCAGAATTACGATTAATAAAATGAAAGTTACGGTTAAACAATATTCATCAGAGTACAGCACATACGGGCAGTTATATGTTTCAGTGATGCAGTTCACGCTGCAGCAAGATAACATTGAAGCTCTAGTCGACCTTGCTCTGAAGATACATAATGGACGTGTACAGGGTATGTGTCATGTTAGGAAGTTTCGACGGAAAGGGAGAGAGAAAGAGAGATAGAAAGAGAGGGAGAGAGAGAGGGGGGGGGGGGGTGAGAGAGAGAGAGAAAGAAAGAGAAAGAGAGAAAGAGAGAGAGAGAGCAAGAGGGCAAGATAAAATGTTATACAATGTTTATAGAGTATATACAAACTGTTTGTGGGATGGAGTCTATTTTTTTCTTTTTTCGTATGTAACATTGACTACATAATGTACCATTTGTAAACTGCAACGGAATTTAAAATTTAAAATAAATCGGTAATGATACAACTACATAAAATAATATATATAAAAGGTTAGCTTCTCAGTGAAATGACGTTTACAAGAAAAGTGCGGTCATCTGAGTCTTACATACAAGAAGCTGGGCTGACTAACAAACAGACTGAACTAATTCACTTCTTTGTCTCACTCTCCTTTCTCTCGACGACATCCGAGTGAGCTCACGTCAGTGTCGTTTTGTTATAACTACAATGTTATAACTACAATGTTATAACTACAGTGTTATAACTACAATGTTATAACTACAATGTTATAACTACAATGTTATAACTGCAATGTTATAACTACAATGTTATAACTACAATGTTATAACTGCAGTGTTATAACTGCAATGTTCTAACTACAATGTTAAAACTACAATGTTATAACTACAATGTTATAACTGCAATGTTATAACTACAATGTTCTAACTACAATGTTATAACTACAATGTTATAACTACAATGTTCTAACTACAATGTTTTAACTACAATGTTATAACTACAATGTTCTAACTACAATGTTATAACTACAATGTTTTTGCTTTCATGATTGTGATTTCCAGACTGGCAGTATCGATACCTGCTGTGCTAAACACAGACTTAGTGCCATTATAAATACACATAATAAGTACGCAGATAGTGTATTGATTGGCACTCATAGTACATAAAAGGAAACACTAGACAACATAAAAGTGTAAGTTATAGTTACCGAGGAGGGAATCGAACCTGTCATATTCAATTGGTGTGTGCGCCTCGCTATGGAAACAAGTGTACTAAGAAACATAACCAACTAGGCACCTCTGAAAAAAGGAGTGTCTTCATTGGTCATGTCTGTCGCACAGCTTGAAACCAACAACTGTGAAATACGGACATAATTCTTCTTCTTTCTTCTTCTTCTTCTTCTTCTTCTTCTTCTTCTTCTTCTTCTTCTTCTTCTTCTTCTTCTTCTTCTTCTTCTTCTTCTTCTTCTTCTTCTTCTTCTTCTTCTTCTTCTTCTTCTTCTTCTTCTTCTTCTTCTTCTTCTTCTTCTTCTTCTTCTTCTTCTTCTTCTTCTTCTTCTTCTTCTTCTTCTTCTTCTTCTTCTTCTTCTTCTTCTTCTTCTTCTTCTTCTTCTTTCTTCTTCTTCTTCTTCTTCTCCTTCTTCTTCTTCTTCTTCTTCTTCTTCTTCTTCTTCTTCTTCTTCTTCTTCTTTCTTCTTCTTCTTCTTCTTCTTCTCTCTTCTTCTTCTTCTTCTTCTTCTTCTTCTTCTTCTTCTTCTTCTTCTTCTTCTTCTTCTTCTTCTTCTTCTTTTTCTTCTTCTTCTTCTTCTTCTTCTTCTTCTTCTACTACTGCTACTACTACTGCTACTACTACTATTACTACTACTACTACTACTACTACTACTACTACTACTACTACTACTACTACTACTACTACTACTACTACTACTACTACTACTACTACTACTACTACTACTACTACTACTACTACTACTACTACTAATACTACTACTACGACTACTACTATTACTACTACTAATACTACTGCTACTGCTGCTGTTGCTACTACCATTGCTGCTGTTGCTGCTATTATTATATCTGATGTTATCGCTGCTGCTGCTACTGCTAATACCACCACCAACACAACTATTATTGCTCTTACTACTACTTTTACCAGTATGATACTACTTCTGCTGCTGCTGCTGCTACTGCTACTGCTGCTGCTACTACTGCTACTGCTGCTGCTACTACTGCTACTGCTGCTGCTACTACTGCTAACTGCATTACGATAAGCTGCACCACCACACCCACCATTACATCAACAAATCAACACCAACAAGGACAATAACAACAGCTACAACAAAGACTACTGCTACCAACACAGCTAATATTACTTTTACTACTAATTTCATCAAGTCTATCATCATCACCACCACCACCATTTTCAACAACTACTTTTATAATTAGTGCTAATTTATGCAGCTATGTACTACCTATCACAAAAGTGCACATACATGACACTCTTTTTAGTGTGTGTCTGCCTGCCTGGTTTCAATTTAACTTATAAACATACGGTCAGACAAATAGACAGACAAAGAGACAGACATATAAGACATTAAAGACAGATTACACAGTCCAAACAATTTTGCAAACATTCAGAAAAAAAGACTGTCAGACAGAGGTAACACATATTTGCAGTATATACACCTGAACGTAAACTAAAACTTGCATGACTGAATGCAGATAGTTTGATTATCCACGATACCTATTGCAGGTGGGATGTTTAACACAAGTGATATCTTTATTACCAGATACAACAGAAACGTTAAGAAGACAGAACCTCCGAGATCCAAATCACAGTATGACCTGTCCCAGATACACCTGGCAAGAATAGAAGACAGCAGTGATGAAAACAACAATAATACGAGCGATGACTCCAGTGACGATTGCTTAGATGGCAATGACTTGATTACTTCTTATGAAACCAAACTAAGTCTGAATACTGGTGCCACTCAAAGGCTTGATGTGGGTTGTCAGCCAGTCTTGCACAAAGAGGCTCCAAGTTGTGTTTCAGTGTTTGAAGAGGACAACGTCAGCTCAAAACTTCAGCCTAAATTAACAGTACTTCGTTCTAGAAGGTATGTTGCACACGCTGGTGAACAGAAGCAACAGCTTCATAAGAATGAGAATACAAGTGCAGAGGATGAAGTGGGAACTGTGATAGCGAAGAAGCCAATGCCTGCGCCTAGAAAGTCCATTCTCAGACCAGTGCCTCTACCAAGAAAACTTTCACTGAGATCTCCAGGCGTTGACAACAAAAGCAGCTCACCCGCGTGCCTCACTAAAGCTCTTTCATCGTCGTTTTCCTTTCACAGCTTATCATCTTTTAGCAAAGGTCCTACGCCAGAAACAAGTCTGCTGAAAACACAAACATCAGTTACGGATATTTCCATTCAAAGGAAAGAAAGTTTGACTGAATCTCAAGCACGTTGCCTTAAAATTGCTTCTTCCGAGGGCACAATTCTCCCATCACCTGACTCTCTGTCATCACCAAAGGACGTGAAAACACGCGAAGAGACAATTCAAACCAAGAATCCTCAAACTCCCAAGGCAAAACCTCCAGTGAAAGCTAAACCAGATGCTCCTGGCCAGAAACTTATTCCCCGAACCGTTTCTTTGATAGAGAATGGCCCAAACGTTCTACTGCCTGTTGCTCCGCCAGTTGTGGTGTCAACTGTAAACAGCAATGGTGTAAATCAGGTCAGAAGTAGGAATCCAGATCGTAAAGAATCAACCTTATCTTGTGATTCCCAAAGAATAATTACTTCAAACCCGACTAAACAAGACAGCAGTCCAACAAGTGTTGATTCCAGCTTTACAGCTGCAGACAAAAGTAGTGATCTACCATCTTCCAGAGTGGAAATGTCCATAGAGAGCGTTGATCAAGCTGTGTATGAATCAGAGATCAGTGCTATTCCATCAGTCTCCATGGAAGCCAGCTACACGCAGGAGGAGAGCCGCGAATCAAGGGAGATCACACGATCCAACTCATCTCTTAGCGGGAAGTTTGAGCAGCAAAGTGCCTCCCCACTCTCCCTATCACCAACGCCTCATTGCTCCTCTGTGCCCAGGTCTTACTCCGACATCAGTTGCCATCTGGAGGGCCACCATTCTCGCGACAGCTCCCTTGTGTCAAATCATAGCAGATTGTCACGGGCTAGTATTGGAACTGACCTGGAGAACTTTTTTAACCAGATGGGGATGGAGAAGGGAGTCTTAGAGCCATTAGACAGACTTAGAGAACTGCAAGGCAGTGAGATCTTTGACAGCATGAGCTCTCTCGATTCCCATGACGCAACCAGCATATGCAGCAGTTACTCACGAAGTGACCAGGAATGGACTGACTCCCAGTCCGTGGATCGCAACCTGCAGCAGACATCAATTGTCGAGAGAAACGCTAGGATTATAAAGTGGCTTTGCAATGTGAAAAAAGCGAAAAGTCCATCAAAGACATCCGAAAGTGCTGCTGCTAGCAACGCTTAACGCTGGATTTAGCAACTGATCACATTTTAGCAACTTTTATGACGATATACTTCTGGTGTGTGTAATCATCTCTTTGGGCAAGCGCACAGTTAATTCTCAATATTTCTCCGTGAAGTGTGTAGACAACTAAGCTAACAGCATCTACACAACCATTATCGCTGTTATCACGACGCCTTTATTCATGTCACCAACTCCACAGTAATTATAGACAATAACAAAACTATCATCAATTTCATCACCATTATCGTTGTTATCATTATTACTACTTTCATTATTATACTTGTTTCTAGAGAGTGCTGTTCATACCACGCCGAGGTTGTAGTTACTACCAAAGTATTTCACACGCATCCACTTAAATGCTTCACTATCAGGACATCTGCTTGCATGCTTCACTTGCACGACGTCTGCTTGAATGCTTCACTAGCACGACGTCTGCTTGAATGCTTCACTAGCACGAAGTCTGCTTGAATGCTTCACTAGCACGACGTCTGCTTGAATGCTTCACTAGCACGACGTCTGCTTGAATGCTTCACTAGCACGAGTCTGCTTGAATGCTTCACCAGCACGATGTCTACTTGAATGCTTCACCTCACGACGTCTGCTTGAATGCTTTACTAGCACGACGTCTGCTTGAATGCTTCAGTAGCACGACGTCTGCTTGAATGCTTCACTAGCACGACGTCTGCTTGAATGCTTCACTAACACGACGTCTGCTTGAATGCTTCACTAGCACGACGTCTGCTTGAATGCTTTACTAGCACGACGTCTGCTTGAATGCTTCACTAGCACGACGTCTGCTTGAATGCTTTACTAACACGGCGTCTGCTTGAATGCTTCACTAGCACGACGTCTGCTTGAATGCTTCACTAGCACGACGTCTGCTTGAATGCTTCACTAGCACGACGTCTGCTTGAATGCTTTACTAACACGACGTCTGCTTGAATGCTTGACTAGCACGACGTCTGCTTGAATGCTTTACTAGCACGACGTCTGCTTGAATGCTTCACTAGCACGACGTCTGCTTGAATGCTTCACTAGCACGACGTCTGCTTGAATGCTTCACTAGCACGACGTCTGCTTAAATGCTTCACTAGCACGAGTCTGCTTGAATGCTTCACTAGCACGACGTCTGCTTGAATGCTTCACTAGCACGACGTCTGCTTGAATGCTTCACTAGCACGACGTCTGCTTGAATGCTTCACTAACACGACGTCTGCTTGAATGCTTCACTAACACGACGTCTGCTTGAATGCTTCACTAGCACGACGTCTGCTTGAATGCTTCACTAGCACAAGATCTGCTTGAATGCTTCACTAGCACGACGTCTGCTTGAATGCTTCACTAGCACGACGTCTGCTTGAATGCTTCACTAGCACGACGTCTGCTTGAATGCTTCACTAGCACGACGTCCGCTTGAATGCTTCACTAGCACGACGTCTGCTTGGATCCTTCAGTAGCACGACGTCTGCTTGAATGCTTCACTAGCACGACGTCTGCTTGAATGCTTCACTAGCACGACGTCTGCTTGAATGCTTCACTAGCACGACGTCTGCTTGAATGCTTCACTAGCACGACGTCTGCTTAAATGCTTCACTAGCACGAGTCTGCTTGAATGCTTCACTAGCACGACGTCTGCTTGAATGCTTCACTAGCACGACGTCTGCTTGAATGCTTCACTAGCACGACGTCTGCTTGAATCCTTCACTAGCACGACGTCTGCTTGAATCCTTCAGTAGCACGACGTCTGCTTGGATCCTTCAGTAGCACGACGTCTGCTTGGATCCTTCAGTAGCACGACGTCTGCTTGAATGCTTCACTAGCACGACGTCTGCTTGGATCCTTCAGTAGCACGACGTCTGCTTGGATGCTTCAGTAGCACGACGTCTGCTTGAATGCTTCACTAGCACGACGTCTGCTTGAATGCTTCACTAGCACGACGTCTGCTTGAATGCTTCACTAGCACGACGTCTGCTTGAATGCTTCACTAGCACGACGTCTGCTTGAATGCTTCACTAGCACGACGTCTGCTTGGATCCTTCAGTAGCACGATGTCTACTTGAATGCTTCACTAGCACGACGTCTGCTTGAATGCTTCACTAGCACGACGTCTGCTTGAATGCTTCACTAGCACAAGATCTGCTTGAATGCTTCACTAGCACGATGTCTACTTGGATGCTTCACTAGCACGACGTCTGCTTGAATGCTTCACTAGCACGACGTCTGCTTGAATGCTTTACTAGCACGACGTCTGCATGAATGAAACCAGTTGCTGTTTATGTGTCTCATCCTTGCATCTGTATATCTGCTGTCGACTTAACAGCACACTGGGAGCCGCAATAGTGTAGTTGCTTGACGTTCGTCTTTGGATCCGAAAGTCGGGAGTTTAAACCCGAATGGTGCCATACTTTTCCCCCAAATTTACCTTGGCTCCCAGATCAACCCGTTGGAGGTACCAGTTATAGTTCTAGGAAGTAAAGGCAGCTGGTGTTATGTTGACCACATCACCCAACGAGTGCTGATTGGTCTATAAAGTTTAAGTCTAGCCTTATATGCCTTATATGTCCGAAGGCCTGGAAAAAGGTCTTTTACTTTTATTTTTTTAACAGCATACTAAAGCATTACCTATGTCAGAACATCTCAGTCTCAGTGTACTAAACCAGACCACAATTGTAACCAAAGCTGTTCTGATTGAAGGTGGTCAATGTGTTTCTCTCTCTAAAGAAGAAGTAGAGGCAGACTCAGGAGCATATGGGACCCCAGGTAAATCAGTACACAGGAACTCCGCCCATTCAATCACTGAGACTAATGGGCGTTGAACTATGACCTGTGAATGCAATATCATGGCGCCTCTAAGTTTGGGGAGTTTTTATGCCCGTGCCTCTCCCAGGAAAAATGATGTAAGGGGCGGGGGGGGGGGGGAGCTGCTAATAATTCTTACGGCACTTGTACACTGTGTTTTGTGTCATCAGTGTGTTTGCCCATAATAGAATATGCACGAGTATCGTTAAATGTCCCTTATCGTAATCTAAGCATTAGTGTGCCAGATGTAGAACATGTGCTTTGTTGATAGTCCATATGCTGTAAACAGAAATTTATGCGAACTGTAATTTTCGTTACAGTTATCGACTTTTCCACTTCTACAATTTAAGGCTGATGTCGACTTTTCACCTCCACGAGAAGCCGACTTTCCACTTCTGTAAAGTCAGACTAGCATCGACTTTCTATTTCTATAATGTAAAGTTATTACCTAGTTTCAACCTCTATAATCTGAGATTGCAGCCAGGTTTCCACCTCTATAATGTAAGATTGCAGCCAGGTTTCCACCTCTATAATGTAAGATTGCAGCCAGGTTTCAACCTCTATAATCTGAGATTGCAGCCAGGTTTCCACCTCTATAATGTAAGATTGCAGCCAGGTTTCCACCTCTATAATCTGAGATTGCAGCCAGGTTTCCACCTCTATAATGTAAGATTGCAGCCAGGTTTCCACCTCTATAATGTGAGATTGCAGCCAGGTTTCCACCACTTTAATGTAAGATTGCAGCCAGGTTTCCACCACTATAATGTAAGATTGCAGCCAGGTTTCCACCTCTACAGTGTGAGATTGAAGTCCACTTCAATATTGTGAGATTTAAGTCCATCTCTATAATGTGAGATTGAAGTCCGCCTCAATAATGTGAGACTGAGGTCCATCTCTATAATGTGAGAGTGAAGCCAAAGGCATGGAAGTGACTAACACCCCTGTCTACCGGTCCACTAATCCTATTTTCGAATCCTCTTCCAAACACTGCCATATTTACAGTCTACCAGCTTTCAGATCGACCCAGCCTAAAATGAGAAGCAGGATATTTTCAGGGATGTAAAAGCGGTCTGTGTGATAAAGATTATACCTAATATCCAACACTGATTTGTCTCTACACTATGGCCCTATCATCATGCCCCAAAACGCTAAGAGGCGTGGACACGTACTTTATTTTATTTACTTTTACTAAAGAAGATGTGTCTTATGTACTTGAATGAAGCATATTTATATAACATGCAAACAATTCTGTGATTGTTATTTATTTTCAATATTCACACTTGTACCAGTGATATTTTGTAAATGTAAAATATGGTCTTTTTTGTCCTCTGCACAATTAATAGACAAGCAATTGAAATAAATCCAGGATTCGAAGACGCTTTAAAAAAAAAAAAAAAAAAAAAAAATATATATATATATATATATATATATATATATATATATATATATATATATATATATATATATATATATATATATATATATATATATATATATAAATCCTTTCAAAAGCCAAAAATGAAATACAGATGCTTTGAAAAAAAGCTAAGAAAGGAAACCAACATAAGAAACACACACCTTAAAGAGACTTCCGGTCAAATTTGGAGGACTAGGCATGGCAGAATGTTGAGCTTCGAAAATTTTTTTTTCTCTAATGCAGTTTCCACACAGGGATGGGAGTCTATGATTTCGCCAAAGTGTCATGTATGATTATGCTTTAAGCGTTTAGTCAGAGTATTTGAAGAAATCTGGTTACGTTTTTATGTCTTTTGCACGGTGTACGCTTTTGGTTGAGGAAAGTGGTACGTTGGTTCTGGAGTTCAAAGCAGTGTTGTCCCATTGTTAATTTGAAAAATGAAAAAAACAAACGATGGATTGAACATTTACTTCAGACAATTTTAAATTTATGGTTAAGCAAGGAAATTGGTTTAATCTGAAAAGGCTTGATTTTAACTTTCACAAATACTGCCATAAGTGCTGCAGTCTTTTCCCATAGATAACACAAGGGGAATTTCAGTACTGTGAACGGCCTCCATAGTTTATGATTTGTATGCATCATTGCCCATGCTGTTGTATGCTGATGAAGTCCCTCTAACCGCAACGTTCACTTTGTCATCCAATACTGCGTTTAATGAAGCAGCAGACCAGTACTGCTTCTCGCTGTTCTTTACGGTGTTCCAACATGGCTGAAGTTCTAAACA